ACATTTTATCTGTTGAGGGCAAGAAATAAAAGTCCTAACCTGCACAGTTTGTGGCGACAAAACTACCAGCAGGGCCTTACAGCCTTCGTCTCACAACCTCATCCCCCTGTCCTACACGACCAACAATTTTTAATAAAGGAATAAAATGATTTTCAAGACAACTCTCTGCCTTCTTCTACTTCAACTCTTTCTCCTTTTGTCTTCCTCTCTTCCTTCTCTGTCATCACCGACTTATAGTTTCCTTATCTCGGTCAGTTGTAAATAACATCGTTTTCACTGTGATTAATTACTTCTTCTTGTCATCTCGTTCAAGTAACTGATGACTTTACAAAAAAAGTTAGCAATTTTTATTGGCAAGGAAGCACAAAGAAAGAAGTTAGTAACGTTCTGGCGAGGCTGTGGTAGCTGTTACAAGTGTGAACAGTGTATGGTTAAATACCAAAAAAGTTACACATTGACAATTTAAATGTCACTTCAGTGTTAACATATGCCAGTGAAAGTTAGAGAACCATTAAAGACACGGAACGAAAGGTAAATACATGGAAACTACGGCAGAAAGCTTAATCTGTTCGTCCATTTCTGGACTTAAGTCTTGCTCCAGAACTTGAATTTGCGTGCACATCTGTTTTACCTTTTTGGCTTACTTGCATAAGACTGCTGATTCCTTGGTTCTCCGGTAGATGCACTCCGATTTAAAAGGGAAAACCCATAATTAGTCATCTCTTAGGACATGCTTTTAAAGGAAGCAGTGGGTTTTCTTCTGTCTTACCCTCCCCCCCCCCCTCTTTTTCCCAAGTGGGGCTTCGGAATTCCACGGGGTACATTAATGATATAATAGAGAAGTTAATAATATGCAAGAGTCATGGGGATAAATATATATTTATAATCATCAAACAAGTACCGAAATGAGAAACAAATCATCATCATCATGTAGCACGTCCTTTGCAGGGTCTGCTTGAAAAAAAAACATGTCAGTCTCTCGCCAGCTCTCCCGCCTCATGCACTTTTATACTCAAGGAGTCACTTATTTCATGTGACCACCTTCGTATTGGTCGGCCCCTGCCCCTCCTTCCTGGTACCATGCCTTCTGCTATAATTTTTTCCAATCCGTCGTGGCGCTTGACATGACCAGAATATTTGAGCTTCCGATACAGGATGCTGTTTATTAGCCAATCTTCCTTGATGTTCAGAAATTTCAAGAGGGGGAAACAAATAGATTGAGGAAACGAGAACGTCCAAGGAAAACCCCTTAGACGAACGTTGGTGAGAGAGGCCAAGGACGCTGGACTGGATTCCATTCATGATTTCGAAAAGATTGCACACATTAGAACACAATGGAAAACTACACAGTGAGTCATGTGAAGTTAACCACGCAACAAGATGATGATACCAAGTCGACTGCAGTCACCACTATTTTCCGCATCACTTACGACTACTACCACCTCGTTTGGTTTCCATTACCCTGCCTGGCTGCAAAAATAATCTTTCCATTTTTCAATTGTGTACAGTACATTTCATGCTTATCAACAGTCCACTGCCCTAAAACAAAACTGCTGGAACCCATGCAGTGTTTTGAAATGCCAGTGAATGATTGCACCAATCTCGGGGAAACCGTACAAGTGTGAAAAGTCAGTGCAGTGAAAGTAAACTAAACTGATGTTCAACTATCATCTTTAAAAACAATAACTGAGACCAGAGTTTTCCAGCCTTTATTTTCCAAATACCCCCTATGTAACATAAATAATTCCTAATTGTCAAATGTTGCCCCCCCCCCCCCCCCTCCTTCCCTACTCCCTCACCCACCCCCTTTTTTTACAATCAAATTGTCTCCCTCAACAATCAAATTGAAACCCTTAATAAACAAATTGTTCCCCCATAGGCTGCACGTTGGGAAACACTGTCCTAGACCCTTTACTGCCAACTTAAATGTCTTGGGTTCAAATCTGCATTGAGGTGAATATTTACGTAGACCCCATAAATTACTTACTTATCTAAAACATAGATCCCGTAAATTACTTCATAACTTACTTAAAACGTAAAGCTATAAATTACTTATTTAAACTTAGAGCTCCTAAATTACTTACCTAAAACACAGATCCATAAATTGCTTACTTACTAAATGAAAAAGAGTCAAAGCAAATTACTTAGTTAAAACCTAAACCGCATAAATTACTTACTTTAAACATAGACCCCATAAATTGCTTACTATTTAAAATGGTAAACATTATAAAATATGTATTCACCTAAAACATAAATTCTACATATTACGTGCTTAATAAAAAATAGAACCCACAAATAACTTACTCCAAAACATAGACCCTTTGAATTATTAAAAACACATTCAACATATATTACTTACTTTAAAACATAACCCCATAAATTACTCACTTAAAACGAGGGCCACGTAAATTTCTTACTTAAAACAAATCACCAATAAATTACTACCTTTTTAACGTAGGCCCCGTAAAATACATACTTAAAACACAGAGCCATTAATTTCTTACTTAATGAAAACTTATACCTAACTTACTTAAAACGCAAACCCCTTTTATCACTAACAGAAAACATAATCCCCTTTAAAATTTTACTTACTTATAACGCAAACCCCTTTAATCACTAACATAAAATACAATCCATTAAAAATTGTACTTACTTAAAACGCAAACCCCTTTAATCACTAACATAAAATACAATCCATTTAACATTTGTAACGCAGACCCATACATTGCTGTCTTAACCACGTACACTGCTTAAATGTCTGCTTAAAAGACAGACCTTATAAATGAGTTACTTAAAACATAGGCTCCATAAATTACCTCAACGCTAAGACTTCATGTATTAATTAGCCCCGGTGTGGCGTAGCGGCGAGACGCTCCCATGCGGATCGGAAGGTCGTGGCTTCGCTACCTGGCGAAACGAGACTTTTTTTTTTCAAAAATGACCTTGACCTCCAGGTCAGCCTGGCTTGAGAGGGTACCGGATGCAGTTCCGGGAAGTAAAGGCAGCCGTCGTGATGCTGACACCACCTATCTTGTGCCGATTGGTTAAAAAATATATAGGTCTAGCCCTGTATGTCCAATACGCATAAAGGCGTGAAAAAAAGACTTTTATTTACCTTTACTAATTAATTAGCCCATACATCAGAACAGACGATTTGCCACAATCGTGAAGGCAGGAGAGATGATTAGCATAGGTTTTTTTTTTTAAATCCCAGGGAATGAAGCAATCGCATTTATCTGCCCTTAGACTCTGTCCCGGAAGCTGCCGGATGCAAGATGCCATTTTTAGGGGCCTCTTTTTAGCTCGAAGGCGACATTTCTTAAGTGAACTGCCCAATGTCTGTAAGCATATGACACGCAATAATTAGATGTTCTTCAATGGGACGTCTGCGCCTTCCTCTCTAAGACGGCCCAGTAAATTTTTAATGTGTATTAATGCAGTTTCTGCGGTATAAATTGTTTTTTTTAAATCACTTGACACGTGTCTGCTAATTTTTTAAAACAGAATGGAAGAAGAGGGAATAATATCAGCAGTAAAAATTACTATCGGCGATTAGAATTAAAAACAAGACCAAGAATAATAGAAAATAACAAGAATAATTTTGGATACGATAGAAGCCATGTGGAGGCTAGAACAAGAATAATATTTTGCAGAAGAGAAGTCTTGAATCGATTCTATCTATATCTTTTTCATGTTGCCACAATATTCACTCGCAAGAAATCATTGATGCTTTTCGGCCCCTGGTATCTGGTGTCATTTTACATTGCTTTATGCCTCTTTCTACAGTTCTTTTTAAGGTTTCTTTAGGTCGTCCTTTTCCCATCATCTGCCGTCCATCGAAGAGCTATCGCTGCCACAGTGACTCATTCTGCAACTGCACCTACTTGAGGTGATCAGACGAAGAATATTATTTGTTGAAAATTCCTTTAGTATGGGAACCCTTCGTTGGTTGTTAGAGAGGGGGGACACAGCACATGTTAGAATCAGGGCTGCTGACTTTTTTTAAAGGGGGAGGTGTGGACGGGATAATACCAAATGTTCTTTGAAAAGATACCAAAAAGCCCCAAGAGTTGCCAATTTATAACTATTGATTTAAAAAAAAAAAACATGTAAACGTCTTTAAACACACACATATACAAACACACATTCACACAAGTATTTATCATACTCATTACTATCTGAGCTGACATTCACATTTTTATGCTCGTTCATATTGGAAAGTTAACAGCAGTTTAAAAAAAAAAAGACAGAAGCACTTCTCAACTTATTTTTAAAACATGTCACAGATTACTTCAAAATAGAACCGAGTGAGAAAAGCTTAAGTATATATAAAGTAAAATGTTAAACTGCGATAAAAGAAATGAAAGAGAATAATCAACCAGTTGTCTGGATGGACATTCCTATGGGGCTTTTGAAACTGAACAGGTCAAAACGTCACTTCAGCAATGACGCCAAATAATACATTTGCATCATGCTTATTTTTCCAGTACACCGCCAGTAATTATTTTGAGGTTCAAGAAAGAGAATGCCAAAAGGTAAAATAGTGATGTACAATTTCTGAAACGTACTAAAACCTCGGGCGTGGTACCAAAGGTACAGTTTTGCTTTGTAATGGTCAACGAAAGTACCAACTTCGGCAGCCCTAGTAGGAATGTCCTAAGTAACTACAGTAAAGATCCCTTTTGCACGCGTTTTAGGCATATCTGCTGTTTGGAAAAGGCTAACAAATTTTTACAGACCATCGATACTAGGATGGTAATGCTATCAACTTTATGCCAGCCGTCTTTACTTCCCCACGACAGCCATCCTGGTACCCATTTTAGACAAGTGCAGTAATGTAAATTTGTGACTTTTTTTTCATTTATCAGAATTACAACTTCGTTTCTATATCTTAATTAAAAAAGATTCCACTTCGCTTTTCGACTCGTATAAAGTCAGTTAGTGCCCTTGAATGTCTATATCTATTGTGAACTTTATTTATATTGTCCTTTCTTTTTCAGAAGGCGATCGGTTTGAGGGGCCGTCCAACTACAATGACGACGATGATGTTAGTGATTTGCTCGAGACTTTCAAAAGGTACAGTACCAGTGTCATGGACTGTTGTCTTCTTTCTTTCTTTCTTTCTCTCTTTCTTTCTTTCTTTCTTTCTTTCTTTCTTTCTTTCTTTCTTTCTTTCTTTCTTTCTTTCTTTCTTTCTTTCTTTCTTTCTTTCTTTCTTTCTTTCTTTCTTTCTTTTCTTTCTTTCTTTGAAACTTTCTTTCTTTCAAACTTTCGTTGTCCCCTCTTTTTTTCTTTTTTCTTCTTTCTTCTTTCTTTCTTTCTTTCTTTCTTTCTTTCTTTCTTTCTTTCTTTCTTTCTTTCTTTCTTTCTTTCTTTCTTTCTTTCTTTCTTTCTTTCTTTCTTTGAAACTTTCTTTCTTTCAAACTTTCGTTGTCCCCTCTTTTTTTCTTTTTTTCTTTCTTTCTTTCTTTTTTCTTTCTTTCTTTCTTTCTTTCTTTCTTTCTTTCTTTCTTTCTTTCTTTCTTTCTTTCTTTCTTTCTTTCTTTCTTTCTTTCTTTCTTTCTTTCTTTCTTTCTTTCTTTCTTTCTTTCTTTCTTTCTTTCTTTCTTTCTTTCTTTCTTTCTTTCTTTCTTTTGCAGATGCTGCCACTGATGCTTCTGTCGCTTCTTTTTATTTCCTTCTCATTCTTCTCCTCGTCTTTCTCCTTCATCTTTCTTCTTCCTCTTCTTCTTCTTCTTATTCGTCTTATTATTATTATTATTATTATTATTATTATTATTATTATTATTATTATTATTATTAATATTATTATTATTATTATTATTATTATTATACTGCTGTTGCTGCCGCGAGCGTATGCCAGAGATGCGCGGCAAAAATCCAGAAAGAAAATTTGGCTAAAAATTCTGACATTATTAAAGAAAACATGAAAATACTTGAAAGTAACAATTTAAGTTGTCTTTTCTTGCCCTGGTCGAAGAGTTTATTCCTTGTTTAACACTCGACGTGTATCGACGGTAAAAAAAAAATGCCTACCGCAACTGTCTTTGTATTTATCTCGAGGTGCGACCGATCCTCCATCTGTATTCGTGAAGGTGCAGTGGATAAGGTAAAGTTGTGATTACATTTTGGCTAAAATTGTTTTAATGCGGAAAATGACGTCTGTACAGTAGTAACTGTTAGCCTGGTTAAGAAGTATTAATATTTACAGGCAGTGCGTTTGTGTGTGCGTGTGTGTGTATGTGTGTTTGTGAGATTGCGTGGGTGTGATCATGCATTTTTTCGTTCTTTTAATTTGCCCAAATTAAATTTGAAGATATTGCTAACGAGAATATAAAGGTGCGTTTAAATTACATCGAACAAACGGCCGAGTGAACGATATTTAAAATGCGATTTCGGCTGCATTCGTACGTGTTTGGCTTTGTTTCGGTTGATAACGAACTGGCTCTGAAAGGACAGTACGTAAACTGACATAAAAGTGTTCCTAACGGCTGCTTTGTTCCGTCCAAATTAAAAAGTCATCAGGAATGCAATAATTCTGATTTAGTACATGAATGTTACGAAATGTTCAAACGCTGCTTCATATCTTTTCAGGGAGGGTTAATCATGATAGAGAGAATTTCTAAAAATAAAAAAAAAAAGGATATCAGGACAAATTCATCCAAACAGTTTCATCAATCGCATTAAAAACAACTGAACATTAAATTTCCGCCGTTGTCTCCTCCTTCTTTCCCTAGTTTTTCAACCGCTTTTAAGTGTATTGTACGGCTCTGTGGCTAAGTCGATGCGAACGCTTCGTAATGCCGGGATGCCGGGTTCGATCCCACCTGCGAGCCATGCGCCTTGCGTTGGTTTCGACATTGGTATCAAGACAGCCGACAGTCCAGAAAGCAATGGCAAACTACTGGACTTAAAATATGCCTAGAAAAACCACACAACAGCCAGGAGCTGTTAGGAGCTGCAAAGTCCTGTAAAGGATACGCAGCTAACCTTAAGTGTGGGTGTGCTGCGAATTTATTAATTTTTTTAGCCCCACAAGGGTGCCGCGGCGAAAATAGTTTGAGAACCCCTGCTCTACACTTTGATAACTGGCGATTACAACTTAGCTATCATTGCACCGGAGCTTGATTCAAATAGTATGAGACATATTGTTTTTAATTATACATAGTCTTTAACCGGATCAAGTGGTATGCATGTCATGTGGGGTTATGTAAAGCCGTAACACATAGGAACCATATATTTTGATTAGAAGTGTTTTCCACTTAAATATGTTATTTAAATGTTATTTGAATTAACATGCATGTCGTAAGCGGTGACTGATTTGGGATTTGCTGAAATCAGATGTTTTGGACCAAACCCGCAGATGTCTCAGATTGGCTGTTAACCACAACACAGCGTGCAAACCACCATTACTGCATGGCCACGTGTGTGCCGCCTTCAAAGTCTAGATAGAAAACATTAGAACTTAACTCCTCTTGAGAACAGTCAGCAGAGATACCTGAGAGTTGCTGCTGTATCCGGAAAGCCAAGCCGAATGTACCTGTGACTTTAATTGTGACAACATATCATCAATCAGCTTACCTACAGTCATAATCGTTTCTGATTGTTTGGCTTCTGCAGCTAAAGTTTTTAATGGTTCGGGGTGGTAAGTTTATAGGCCAACTCGCCTCTACTGTCTCTTACGATTTGTATATTATTTTAAAACGTAAAGAATCGTTGTTGCACCAGTGGTGTATAAAGCATATAGTGTTAGAAACATATATTTACAGACCAATAGACACGAAAAGCGATGTGGTCAACATCGCCCCGGCCGCTTTACTTTCAAGAGCATTACCTTGTACCACCCATTTAAGGCCCAGTTAACCTGACAAGTCGGTGTATGTGGCAAACGCGTTTCGGAATTCCGAAATATCTGTTTCGGTTCCAACGGCGAGTTACTTGGCAGAAGACCACTTTGTCTTGCAGTGGTATCAGATCCGACCTTTTAGTGGGAAGTAGTGCAAACTACTGAACTCAGAACTGCCCTGGGACAATCACAAACAGCCCATACATGTTTTTAGTGCAACCTCCTTCAAAGGATATGCAACTAAAATTTTTGTTTACCTGGGAAGTGATTCCCCCCCCCCCCCCCCTCTCCCTCCTAGAAAGAATCGGTCTCGGGGGATTAGAACCGAAGACCCTCGGACCTGCAAGCGAGCGTCTAACCACTTGCCTAACATGGCTCCCATATATTTAACGGACAGCAACTTTGATATTCTCTGCTTGCCTGGTAACAAACTGTCTATGTCTATTTTCTTCTTAAACTTTTTCCATCTTTTACGGGCTTCTTCAAAGACTTCCTCATTAATTTTTCCATCAACTCAATACACGCCTCCTCTTTGTAACTCCTGGGAAACCTTATGTCTGCCACTACTGTGTGTGTTCTCGTATGTCTGCTTGTATGATTGGATCTCACACACAATCCCTCTTTGTATTCTAAGAAACATTATCGTGGCAATGTATGCGGCGAAACCTGGAAGCTCGAGCCCACTGAGGCAGAACTGTGTAAGGGAGCTAAGCCGCCCCATTATTCATATATAGAAATGTGCTTTAAAAATTCTTTTTTTATATATTTCATTTTATTTGAAATATATTTTTACTATATTTAACTGTCCGGCTTCTCCCAAGATTGTGAAAGAGAGTCTATTCTCCCACCCTCTACTTTATCTTGGTCACCGTCGCCACTGTATATGTAGTAGAGACTCCACGGAGGAGAGTGTTCAACATGAGCCTTCCGTTTTTAAGTTTCCTTTGGATGCCGTTTATTTCCTGAACCCGTTACTATCCAATTTCATTGCATGTTTGCGGATTCTGTTCGTCTCCCCAGAATATCCTATAGTAAATAAGTGTGTACCGGGTGTTGGAGCTGGCCCCTGAGTCACTGCCCTGAGTGGAGTGGTAGGAGTCTTTTAGACCAGTTTTCCCTTCAATTTTTTTTTTTCTTTTTTGTTCGCCTTAAACAGTCGGTTGGCACGTTGCTCTGTGCTTTATTGCTAGGCTGCGATATCTGAGACTTTCGACCCATCCGTATAATTTCAGCAAACCCATTATTTGTTTAGTTTTTTGACATGCTTAGAGGATCAGTGGGTCTATCCTCTACCCCCCCCCTCCCCTTCCACACACCCCTCTTTTCCACGCCCCCTCCCCCCACCTACACAAAAAAAGGGCCCCAGAACCCACGCGGAGATCTATTGTCCTGTCTGTTCGTTTTATTTGTTCCGTACTCTCTCCACAACAAATCCTTCAAACATATAATGAACAAATGAAACCCAGAATGATATTTCCATCTCCCAGACACAAAAAAACATTTCCTAAAAGAGCAGTCCCAGAAAATTCAGAGAATATGGATGGAACACTCCTGCTGCTCTGAGATATAACTGCATGTCCTGCCAACACGACGCTGGGTTACTCAACAACCTTCAGTTAACGGACGATGTACACAAGAAACGTGACGTAGAGCACCGCGTGCAAGCGGTGATATTTTTGTCTCGCATACGTAAAAAATGGTAGGGCAAAGCTATCACCGATTACCCGCGGCGGCCATATTGCAACTACAGTTGAACCCAGAATGGCATCTGAGCATCCTTCGACCAGACATCTTTCTGTGTATAAAGACTCTGGATTCAAGCCCTATTTTGTTGGACCACATACGTTTCTTCTTCTTCTGCTTCTTCTTCTTCTTCTTCTTCCTTCCTTCCTTCCTTCCTTCCTTCCTTCCTTCCTTCCTTCCTTCCTTCCTTCCTTCCTTCCTTCCTTCCTTCCTTCCTTCCTTCCTTCCCTCCTCCTTCCTTCCTTCCTTCCTTCCTTCCTTCCTTCCTTCCTTCCTTCCTTCCTTCCTTCCTTCCTTCCTTCCTTCCTGCCTGCCTGCCTGCCTGCCTGCCTGCCTGCCTTCCTTCCTTCCTTCCTTCCTTCCTTCCTTCCTTCCTTCCTTTCTTCCTTTCTTTCTTTCTTTCTTTCTTTCGTTCGTTCGTTCGTTCGTTCGTTCGTTCGTTCGTTCTTTCGTTCTTTCTTTCTTTCTTTCTTTCTTTCTTCTTCTT